CTCTCTCTCTCTCTCTCTCTCTCTCTCTCTCTCTCTCAACCTTTTATTCCGCTGCCGGAGGTGCCGGGGTGAGCTCAGAGCGCCACCTACTGCAAACATTATTTATTGCACCGATCAAAAAGACTGAAAGAGAAGAGAAAGTACAGTCCACAAAGAGTGAGAGAGCTGTTGTAAATATTCTCTCTCTCTCTCTCTCTCTCTCTCTCTCTCCCACACAGTGTGTCTCATCACTGTTCACTGACCTTTGTTTAGGCCAGAAGTTAGGAAACATAAACAATCAATTATCTGTTAATAATGACACAGCTATTGATGCTGTATTCCACAATAATAATAATAATAATAATAATAATAATAATAATAATAATAATAATAATAATATCAGTGAATTAACACACGTCACAAATATGAGCAAACCCTTTACTGCGCCATAAAGTGCCGCGCGTTTCTGCGTCATTCTGCGGCGCCATAACAGCTATAACAAGATGCGGTGATGCGTTCACGGCCGCGAGAATCCTCCCTGAAGCATTTACACACCAAATTCAACCAAAGAAGCTCACCCTTCTGATGATCTATATCTACCTAGTTTATCCATTTCACACTCATCATCCAAAATCAGTGCAGTGAAGTTTTATTTATTCATTTTCAGTGTTTTGGTGTTAACCAGGCAGGAGCTCTGTTCACCAGAAACTGTTACAGTGACCAAAACTTAACCAATAACTTAGGCTATTTGTCCATTCTTTTTTTCTTTCTTTCTTTCTTTCTTTCTTCTGTTTGCCTGTCTCTCTCACCTCCCCTCCCTCCCTCCCCTCCAGCTGCAGAGGAATGGTAAACCTGATCTGTGACGTCCAAACTGGATGGAAATCTCCTGATTTATGATTTGTTGATTCTCGGGTTGGGATGCATTTCAGCCAGGGTGCCTCTGTGTGTCTGAGTGTGCGTGTGTTATTGTAGTAGGCCCTCAATGTGCACTCTGGTGTGCATATTTCATTGTGACTCTGACACACAAACACACACACACACACACACACACACACACACACTACACACTACACGCTACATGCACAAGGGCCAGAACATGGGACAGATGAAGAATTCCAGATTTCTGTGTGTGAAATGATACAAATGAATGCGCTCTGTGGGGAGTGTGTGTGTGTGTCTGTAAATGTGGTCCTGCGTGTGTGTGTGTGTGTGTGTGTGTGTGTGTGTGTGTGTGTGTGTGTGTAGTTGCAGGCCAGATTTCAGACACTCAGCTGCTTGCACACGGAGCATCAGCGAGAGAAACCAGCAGCTGGAATGGAAATCATCTTGAATATTCCAAAATACCCGGGCAGATAAAAAACTGCTGCAAGAGGCTGCACCAGAGGAGGAAAAATCCACCAAACAGAATCCAGATTTATTATTTTACCCACAAGAGTTTTGATATCAACACTAAATCAGCTAAACTGCTGTTTCTGAAAGCGGACTGAGAGGGGCTTTAAAACACAGGAGCCAAAGTGTGCCAGGAATGCAGGGACAGGCAGGAGGAGGCTCTGACCCAGTTGGCACACACTTCTCAACACACTCCCCTCATTATATATAGATTTCCAGAGTCCCACTGAATATTTGTGCCATGAAACAACTCGCTCACCATTTTGATCCAAACAAATTCCACAGTTTCAGATAAGAGAGGTCAGTGGCTCTGATTTATCAGATGGAAAAACTACAGTCGTGAGCTGGAGATCATTTATGTATTACATTCTATTTCTGTATCACTTTTTCTTTCTTTTTATGCTGTCATTATAATATTTTCTTCTGAAATTGTCAGGATTCAGGGTTCGAATCCCTGTTAGAACAAGATGCTTGAGCCAGAGTCACACAAGATTTTTTTACCTGCACAAATGTGAAAGTAATTTACTGTAATCTCTAGAGTGCTTAAATCTGAAATTCAAGATATTAAATGCTGTTAAGATGCTTTAGTTTTGCAGTTAAAATCTTACAGATTTGATGGTTTAACAAAATGGTTTTAAACAATGCGGCTTGAAAAGTTTGAAACCATTTAAAATGTAATTTCTAGGAGACGGGGTGTTGAAGTGGACAATATAAATATAAATCATAGACAAAATAAACAACCAACCAACATTCTTTGCCCCAAAATATGAAAAGCACTCTCCCAGACAGAGAGTGCAGTTGGTGTGTGTTGGTCGGTAAAATGAGCCCTCTCAGTCTCAGTGAAATCATTTCCATTGTGTTTAACATAGAACATCTGCCAGCATACAGTTCACCTTACAGCAGAGGTTGTGGCAGTGGGTAAGGAGCCGGTGACCCTGGCATGGCCAGATCAAACCCTCTGCTCTAAAACTATGTTCCAATTAGCTCATTTGTTCCTAAGCATAAATATGACTGATCGCAGCATTTTGCACTGAAATAAAATGTACTTCCTCTCTCACAAAATGTTTTATTTTCTCACTGTGGTTTTACTTATTTACTGACAACCCCATGTCATGTATTGCATTGGCACCACTCCCTACATCTGAATCTGAACAGGCTTTTATTGGCAATCTTAATGTGTCTACTCCAGCTCAATATAGTCAATGCCACCAGTGGAATAGCGTTGGATGAGCTGCGACTTTACAGCAGATGTGGGTTCCTCCACATGCTATTATGAAAAAGCTAATAAAACATGTATGGTACTGGGAGTACTGGTACTTTTTTTGCCAGTGTGCTGTTAATAAACTCATACAAACTCAATAACATTATAGTAACGCGTTTTATATAAATGTGCCTTTTGTCTGCTGCACAGAAAGAGCTACATTGAAAACACATACGGGCTGTGAATATTCTCACTGAATAATTTCACATTAGAGTGACATTTAGTTTGTTATGACTTTATTCATATAAAGTTTCTATGTGAGCTAACTATGATAATTGAAACTACAGCGTAGTTGTCATAGCTACCAGGTAAAGGCGGGTTCCCTGTTTATTTATGTGTTGATGCTGATGCTGTCATCATGCGCGTGCATGTTTGTGTGTGTCATCACTGCTGATGATTTGCAAAAAAAAAAGAGGTTTTATGTTCCCGCCGTTCACACAGAGAAACCTCAGCCCCTCTGGACCTCGCGCAGCCGGTCACTCAGGGGACAAACAGGAGTTCAAAGGGTCACGAGGACATTGTCCACTTTGTCTGGGCGAAGTGTGTGTGTATGTGTGTGACGTGTCTGGTCGGCCGGCTCGAGGACAGGATCAACTTTCTCTCCCTCTAGTCTGGTCATCAATTAGTTTCAGCAGCACCTCGCGCGCCCCTTGTCACGGACCCGCCGCTCGCGAGCTCACGTGGCCCCCGTGCGGCCTCGGTCTCGCCTCGCCCGCCATAAATATGTGCATGCCTGTTTCACACTTTACAACTAAGAGGCTAAAAGGTTTACGAGTCCTGCGCGCGGATGTAGCTACGTCACTAAATCGTAAAATACGAGCGTTTTTACTTTTGAACTAAAATGTCACTGTCAGAAAAAATTAATAAAAAGAAGCTCTCTCCATCATTTCTTTACATTTTATTGAACATGTCTCATAGGTAGTTTACATCATGACTTGACAAAAACACTAACATAAAGAAACAATGTAAAAATCCATAAAATATACACTTTCCTGAACGTTTTAGGTAGTTTGGCGAATAACATCAGTAGGTTAACCCCCCATCCCCTCCCCACCCTCCCTATCTAGCCGGAAAGGTTAAATAACCCCCCCCCCCCCCCCCCCCACTTACATTATTTTCACCATACAAGGTGATTTCTCCTTGTTTATTTCTATACAGTTTAAATATAACACCGTATGACACAGGCTACATACAACTCTCAGGTAGCTCTCCCTCCTCGCTCCATATTATATGAGCTCGTTTGCACGTGTAATTGAAGGTATAATAATACACACAACACGTTTACAAAATAGGATAAAAAACTGTTGGGGGGGGGGGGGCAGAGCTCGACTTCGAGTCCTAAAGCTTCAAAGCAAGTGCCTGACAGAAAGGAAGTACATTTTGACAAGAACAAAAACTAAGTACAATGAGGAGTTAGGTGGTTTTTCTTGGAATGCAATAACACATTGTGTCACCGTTAGGTTGCAGGTTATACTGTGCTGTATTTTTAAACACGATGTCATATAACCTGAACCACCATAACCCCCTTTAGTTTTTTTATGTTGCTATTTCTCTCTTTTTTCTTTTCCTTTTTTACCCGATTCGTCATTTCATCTGCTCTTTCCAGACAGCGGTGAATTCAGCCTGGAGAAGCAGTTGGATATAACTTTTAAGTGGGTGGCGACGGGCTCAAAAAGGGGATTCTATTCTGCCTCTTTCTTCCTCAAGTAAAAAAGAAAAAAAAGAAAATCTTGGCTGCTTTTCCCCTTAGAGTTTTCTCACCAGACAAACGTCTGGACGAACTTTGAGACGGGGACAGATAGATATTAACCAGCAAGTCTCTTCATCCATCCTCCTTCTCTTCTATGTGTGTCACATCAGTTTATTTCTCTTTTTCCTCCTCTTTCAGTTCGTCCGTTTCTCCTCTTCCTCTACACCGTTCACTGTGGATGAAGAGGAGGAGGAGGAGGAGGAAGAAGAAGAGGAGTTGATCAACTTGTTCTCCTTCTTCCACTTCATCCTCCGGTTCTGGAACCAGATCTTGATCTGCCGCTCTGTCAGGCAGAGCGCGTGTGCGATCTCGATCCGCCGCCGCCGCGTGAGGTACCGGTTGAAGTGGAACTCCTTCTCCAGCTCGAGAGTCTGGTAGCGGGTGTATGTCTGTCGGCCGCGCCTCCCGGGGCTGCCGAAGGTTCCTGAGAGAGAAGGACAGAGAAATAGAGGAGATTACATTTTAACCAAGGCTTCAGGGTGGCGCATTATTCTATTCTATTCTATTCTATTCTATTCTATTCTATTCTATTCTATTCTATTCTATGCTAATTGCGCTGGGGCTCCGTTGAATTTTATGATTTTATTTACGCCGTTTAACAGCCTATAATTTGTTGTGTCTCACACCTTACAATAGAGGATAAAAATCTCCAAAGATGTTCTTCTAAATATCTGCGTCTTCTATCATTCTGCTGTTTCAAAGGACTCAGTTATAATCTGACTTTAGTATAAAACGTCTGCTCCAGTCTGACCAGAGAACAGACACTTGTTTCCTCCTTGGTGGTGAAGACTGGAATTATGAATTAGATAAAAAAAAAAACGCCATAAAAAATAGGAACTATATATATGTATATATATATATATAATATAATATAGTCATATATATGCACCTAGTGTTGCTGCAAGACAAATTCAGCTCCTGGTGATAGCAGGATTCAGCGAGAAGAAAGAGAAGAAACGGTTATGCTACATTTTAAATTTTTTTTAATACTATATAATAACAATATAATAAATTAATAATAATAATAATAATAATAATAAGCAGACGTAGAGATAATATTTCAGAGAGTATTCCCCCCTTTAAAGATCGGCTTGCAGGGCTTTAGGCTCCTCTCATCCTCAGTAACAGTGTTTTGGCCCCAGTAGTAAACAAATCGCCACGTTTTCAGTTTAGCAGAGTTTCTGTATCGATCTGAGAGGCAGAGCATGTATGAAGAGCTCGGAGCTCATATCTAAATCTAAACATCCATAAATAAAAACTCAGCTAAACCGGATTATGGAGGCGCACTCGGGGTTTCTTTACCACTCTGTTCTCTCTCTCCAGCTGCCATTTACGTCCTCAGCTGTCACTTAAAAGCCGGCGTTGCGTTTTTTATTCCTCATATCTTTCTTTGCGACGGACCTGCAGCTCATCTGTCATAACCCGGTGTGTCCTGCAGGGCTGTGTACAGCAGCAGCCCCGTGTTATCCAACATGACTCCCTTCACTCTCAACAGGCCGTTTTAAACAAAGACACTGGGGTTTGCAGAGAAAGTAGCTCCGTAATTGCATGCTTAATTTTTAACTGTGGCTATATAACAAGACCTTCTTATTACGAGGAGTCACATCGAATTACTTCCCCCAAAAGCCCCGCGCGTCTTGCTTTCACTCCCAACTTGGCAGCGTCCGCAGGCCCGAGTGTGAGTGTAATATCTAATCTGTTTGGTTATGAATAACAGTGTCTGGTGCAGGGTTAACAGTACAGGCTCCACACGAGATAGCAGAGGGAAAGTTGTGATACCGTTCTACACATATCAGCAGAAGGAGAGTTTATCAGCACTTTGTAAAGAGAATATGTTTCTCCTGCACTGACAGGTGGGGACGGATTTTTAAAATTTGTCTATAAGTTTTTGATCGTGCGCAGAGGCAGCCTGGGAACCAGGAAGAAGACTAGCATTGAAAAATTGAAATAAAAACAATGAGACAGACACAGTCAAATAGATAGCTACTGAAGCCAAACAGTAGAGACTGCATTTAGTTTCTTCTCTACTTATCTTCCCTTCTATCTGTTCCCTGTTTCACCCACAACACTCTCTGACAGGCTCCTCTCTCTCTGACTCGGTAGCTGCGTCGGTCAGCAGGTCACGTACAGTAACAGGAGCTACAACCCAAACAAACCCGTTTTATGACGGATAATAAAATACCGAGCACATGACTGACTGACAGGCCAACAAAAGGGGATCATAAAGCAGCTACTGAGAGAGGAGGAGGAGGAAACAGAGAGAGGGAAGACAGCAGAGGGGCTAAGAGCGGAAACAAACGTCAGTTTTATGACGGGGATCATAAAATATGCAAGAAAGAGGAGAAGAGGAGGAAGAAGGAGACACTCACCGTTACACGAGTTCATCCGCTGCATCCACGGATAAATTGGCGCTGACGCCGCGTGCTTGTCGTCCATCGTTTCACCGAACAGCCCCTTCCCACTCAGACCCGCGCACTCCGCTTTACGGTGCATGCCGTCCTGGCTCAGCGCGAGCTGGTGTTCCTCCAGGCTGCACGGGTGCTCCTTGTCCCGGTAGAAACTCGTAGCAGCGGCAGCGGCCGCAGCCGCTGCCGCCGCCGCTGTAGCATAGTCGCAGGCTCCGGTCGCACCCCCTACACCGACCCCCGCCGCTGCTGCCGCTGCTCTGTGCCCGCCGTACGCTCCGTTGGCCGCCTGTTGGTAGTAGGTGGATGCCGGATACGGTTTCTCCTGGTGCACGCCGCCGCCGCTCGCACCGTAAGCCACGGCCGCGGCAGCGGTAACGGTCGCTGCCCCCGGGTAGTGCCTGAGCGAGTGGTCGGCGGCGTATCCCGACGAGTAGAGCGGGATCTGACCCAGGAATGACTCCGCCGCCTGGCCGCCTCCACCCGTCCCCGGTAGCGTCACCGGGAAAGAGGAGTTGACAAAATAGGAACTCATCGGGAGAAAGTATGAGACGAGAAAAAGGGGGAGAAGAGAAGAGAGGAGAAGAAGAGGAGAGGGGAGGACAGGAGGGCACGAAACAAACACAACAACAACGCGATGAAGAAGGAGGAGTAGAAGGAGGCTAACGGCTAACAGCTAACGGTTCTCCCTCCCGTCCTCCTACCTCTGCCTTCCCCTGCCTGCACTTTATGATTTGTTGTGTTTTATAGCCGACAGTCCGACGGGCTGCTGCTATCACTTAGTTTATCACAGATTGGGAGGAGGGGGTGAGGAGGCTGAGGGTGAGACGGGGTATCTGGGTGGTTGAGTGCCAGTGTGGGACAGAGAGAGAGAGGAGGGAAGGGGGGGGAGAACAAGGGAGAGTGTGTGCGTGTGTGTGTTTGTGTGCGGAGAAGACGGGATGGGGTGACGAGGGATCTTGGGGGAGGGAGGGGGGGAGACCAGCTGACCTCAGACTGACCAATGGGGAGCTTCTCTGTCTGGCATTCGTTCGCCCCTTTTCCTTTCGTTGGCGAGAGGAAGAGGTGGTGTGTGTGTGTGTGTGTGTGTGTGTGTGTGTGTGTGTGTGTGTGTGTGTGTGTGTGTGTGTGTGTATGTGTGTGTGTGTATGTGGGGGGGGGCTCCCCCTTCTCCTTTCCTATTTCCCTTCTTCAATCTCCCGCTCCCCTTCTCTCTTTCTAATTCTCATTCAATCTCTCTTTCTAATCTTCCTCCGTTTCCCGGTGAGATTGCGCAATCACGTCGGAATCCTCCGCGCGTTAAATTGATTCTTTCTCTCCCTGTGTGTCTTCCTCCTTCTGTTGTTAGACCCATAAAAAAAAAAAACCCAACAGCTCTCACACACACGCACGCGCGCCCTCCCTGAGAGAGTACGGGAGAGGGAGGAAGGGAGGGAGGGGAAGGAGGGGTGGGGGCGGGTTTGCTTCTGCACCACCAGAGGCAACCGAATAATAAAACACAGCCTATTCCCGGTGCTTTGCAGATAATACCGAGCGCGTTAGAATGAATTTGGCGAGCGTAAATCACAGCCGGTAACGCGCACTGCTCATGTGTGGTCCTGAGCGCGCGCGTGTGTCTATGTGTGTGTTTGCGGCGGGGATGTGAGTTGTTAGCCAACAATATAACGTGGGCTATGTGTGTCTATAATTGAGGTGTTTGTACATTTGTAATTGGTGGCCTATATTTGGGTGGGTGGGTAGATTTATGCCCCCTGCCCACCGGGGAGGGAGGGAGGTGTCCTGTTCTGACCACAGACGTTTTCAGCGCGGTTATTTGAGTAAATGATAATCTGGAAGGGATTCTCTCAACATAATCTGATAGCTATTAATGCTTTTAATGATTGAAAATAACCCGGGTGACGCTGCTCAGTCTGAATGGCAGCTGAGTCAGACCCAGGCAGGCTGATGTGTGTGTGTGTGTGTGTGTTTGTGTGTGTGTGTGTGTGTGTGTGTGTGTGTGTAAAATTGAACCGAAGTGTTCCAGGGGAAGCTGTTGTGCGTGAGTCGGTTCGGTTTGATCAGCGTGTGCAGTGAGTTATTGTTTTCCTCTCCTGAGACACTGATTAGACTGAAATGTGTAATGAGAAGAAGAAAAGAAACAGTCCTGAAGTTTCCCTCTTGCTTTTGGCCCTTTTCTTGACACTGATTGCAGCGTCCCGCCTCCATCATTCAACTCGAAGCGCTACCTTTAGCTGAAATCATACATACAATAAAGTAATTTTTCATATATCATGACTTCTCTTTTACGCATCCAACGGTTAAACAAAAATTATAATGAATTAATGAAAATAAAAAGTAAATAATAATAATAAATGGCAAAGTAGGCCCACATTCCTTATGTTTATACAACTAAATATTAAAAAATAAATAGGGTATTAATATTTATAAATGAATAAATGATGATACGAGAATTATCAGTGAAACTAAATATATAAATGTATAAAGGAATATATAGTCCAGGCCTAGTGTGAAAAAACAGCTGTATCTGTTATGGAACGTGAATATTTCATATATCCATTTTTTTTATGGATAAATTGTTCACTTATTCATTATTATATTTTTTGTTAAGAGCCTAATTGCAATATTATTCATAAATATTTTACATGATAATATTAACTTAACGAGGACTGTAACAAATAAATAGCAAAATATAGAGAAAGTTATGCCCAAACTTAAATTCTTATATTCTTATTTTATATGTTTTATTATTGTGACGTCATTGTAGCTACTTGTAGTTTTCTCAGTTGTTCATTTAAAAGTAATAAATAAAACCAAAATGTGAAGTAACATAGGAGCTGGCGCCACACACACACACACACACACACACACACACACACACACACACACACACACGCCTCTACTTCTACTGGACTACTATAGGCAACTAAATTCATACTTTAGACGTACATATTTTATTATAATAATAAAACAACCTCAAAACTTATACTGATACACTCCTTTTTTTCTACCACTTCTTCTCAAGAAAGAGAAAGAGAGAAAGGAGAGCAGGAAAAGAAAGGAGCAGCTAACTCTCGGCCTGCTTTTCATTCGCACTTACAAACGGCGTATGTGTCGCTGAGGTCGTAAAATAATCGCAGCCATAAATAAGTCTCCCTCTTTGTGCCTTTCTCTGTTTCCCCTACAGGCTCGGACTTGTCTGCGTGGCCGAGCTGCAGACAGTCCGACTGACAAATAGAGACAAAGACTCTATTTTTACTTTTACTTCGCTCTCCATTCCGCCATGTCTTCTCTCTTGTTTTAAAAGTAGTAACAGGGAGACAGATAATAAGTTTAATTCCTTTCTGTGCAGGATCACACAGACAGATGGGGAGTCCCCCCCCCCCCCCCTCCCACCACCACCACCACCACCATCCCTCACCCCTCACCACCTCTCTCTCCCTCACTCTCCCTCTCTCTGGCAGGACGCTGCGTTTCCTCTCCGCTTTGTGGGAACGGGAAGCAGCAGCTTTGTGTTGGAGCTGACTGTGGTTTAATCATTAATGAGAGCTAACAGCGGGGACGGGACAGGCATGGCCTACAGCCTGGGACACACACACAGGACGGTAATACTATTATTATATACAGCTACAGCCCATATGCATTAGCACTGTCTTAACGTAATTGTGGCTTCGGCATGAATATGAGTGGATACCCGCTCAGCAGCCTGCAGGGTAAAAATGACTTTCTGACAGAGGAGTGTCATATTCTGATTTATCCAGTTAGAACCAACACGACTGTGTCGACACAGTAAAACTGCAGCTACGGTTGTTTAATAGGCTACTGGACTGGACTGATATAATGTCTGAACGCTGTTTAACGTGCTGAATTGAATGGTAGCTGTAAATTGAGATTTGACCGTTTCTATCAAATGCTGCATTATGAAGTTTTATTCCTCTTTATAAGTTGACTGTGAATGCTGTGGATGCTAGCTATTATGGGTAATATTAGCCCAACCTGCTTCAGTAGCACAGACTTTAATGTGCATTTGAATTATGTAATTTTATAAAATCCTGACAGGTGCAGATGTGCGCTACCATATAAAATTTTATTCAAACATATAGACCTACATACCCTACATGCCATTACAATAAAAATACAAGCCTGGTAACTTAATTTAGAATGATGACATGTTTTAAAATAATAGGCTACAAGAATTTTACATATGACATAGCCTTACTACAACTTCATAGCTGAGCAATGAGACGCAGTTTTATTTTTTACAACATCAGACAGCACATCAGGCTGGTAGGTTTAAAGCTAAAGCTAAACATGATAGCAAATCCTAAGGCTAAGTCTTAGCTGTGGTGTAATAAAACTGACTTAGAAGGCTAATAACTAAGAACTTGAAGGCATCAATGTGACTTCATTTCTGTGACTCTATCATGTGACCGCCTTGATTCACCCCGTGCATGCTGCAGTGAGCGGGCTGTTGTGTTGTCGTTGCAGGTGTGTTGCAGTTTGAGGGTCAAACCTCCACCAAGCAGCAAAAGGGAAGACTCGGGACAGGATACTGTTTAAGGAGAAACGGAGGAGCGCGTCCGGTTGGAAGGAGCAGTTTATGTTTGAGAGCGTGCAGGAAAGAAGCATAAGAAATAGACTAAGAGAAAACACACGTCCTCTTCTCTGTGTTTACAGTTTCCTATAGGTTCGCATAGTTTACTTGTAGTTTAACCAGACTTGAACCTTACTGTGTGCCGTAGGTAAACATTGGAAAAAGTCGGCTAGGCTGCTGTGCAGTTAGCCCAATGAGCCTAAGCACGAATTCAACTTTAAAAGCGATTTTTTTTTTGCATTTAACCTCTCATATGTAACCTATACATTTAAAAAAAAAAAACAGTTTTTAATTTTTGTGTCCAGCCGCACGGAACCAATACCATTACGTTTTGTTTACATTAACTTTGCTACTTTAATTAACATATGTGAGCAAATTATGAGAATTAAAAACTACAACAAAAAAATCTATCATTTTAATTTTACTGGCCTACTAGCAGTGGCTAATACACTGAAGCAGCGTGTTCAGGCGGCGGAGTAGAGGCTAATAGATAATTAACGGTTTTCTCAGAACGGTATTCTGAGGTGGGTCTCCCATTAGAGACAGCACCAGCTGAGAAATTATAAATAATAATAACCTGCAATATGTGTAAGAATTTGTATACGGTCTTCATTTGCGACAGAATGATAACTGCACGTGGTAAAGGTTTGTGATAACAGCGTTTTGAGTTGTGCTTTTTATTCCCGCGCAGTAAATCATAGCCGTGTAGCTGCAGTGTAAACAGCTGAGAGCCGCTGAAGGAACTCCAGGAATCTGAGAAACTCCAGAGATCAGACTATCGACAATTAAAGCTGAAGAAGAGAGACTGCTGCTTTATAGCTTTATGACTCTTTTTCACCTCGTGTGTGTGTGTGTGTGTGTATGTGTCACTGTCTATGTGTGTGTTTGTGTGTGTGTGTGTGTGTGAGATAGAGAGAGAGCGACCTCTGAACTTTTATGGCTTTATGACCGTTTATGACTCCTTGTAAAGTCCGAGGAATGGTGACGAACTGAAAAACAGGCCCGCAGCAAACAGCAGATAAACAAATATGGGGACGCCTGCCTGTACACACTCAGTCACACACAGTCACACACACACAACACACACACACGCACACACGGACACTGTACAGTTCATCTGTGGTTCATTTCAGCCCCGGCAATGCTCAAACCGCCTGCATCTCACTCAGTATTATTAACAAGCATTGTGAAATAATTAACTGTCCATGAAATTAAACCTTCGCTATTTATTTTACTGACTTACACTTTTTTTCTTTTTCCCTTTTAGCCACAACTTGAT